AGCTGCACTGGAAAGACGCCTTGGGTTCAAATGTGTTGTCACTGCCACGGACTGTGGATGTCTTTACCAAAATAGAGTTGGATGAGAAGCTGTCATATCACTTGCCCCCAAAACATGCATTGCCTGGACGAGTGGTCAAAGACTGTGTGGACTATGTCGCGCATATGATCAACAAACACAAGCCTTTGATCTACAAGATTGGCTATTGTCATGATGCTCATACCCGTTTCTACAACCGTAAATTTGGGTATGCCCTGGACCCTGAACGGTGGGAGCACTTGGTGACCCTGTACGCAGCTGATGAAATCATTTCACCTGGATTTCTGGAAGCAGCTCTCATTCAGCAGTTCAAAGGTACCCTGGATGGCTCATAAAGAAAGTATTTTCATGTTGTTCAAGGGAACCTCTTGCGTTAACAGGCACGTGTTTCTATTCTCGGATGTGAAGAGTTTCCCCATCTAAGGTGAACCTGGTTGCAAGAACATCAGGGACGGTGGTGACACCATCGCACAGTCGGGATCTGGTCCGTATCTAGTGTACATGGTGTATAGGTCTTTCCAGAAGCCCAGCAATGCACATTTGATGTTGCGTTGAGAATGCCAATGCAACTCTGTTTGTGGCTAAACTGCGTCATAGATGCAGTGTCGAAATATGACAAGCATTATAATTAAGGATGGCTGCCCTGCAGATTCTGGACACTCCAGCCCGTGAAAACTAGGTGCATTCTGCCGTTCTGTGCCATGTGAAGGCCCAACAAAAACACATCATCAGTCCGACATTGATCGCCCACAATCCCAGGTTGAAGGAAACGATTGGCGCTGAGAAGAACAAGGTCAGGGATTTGAAGCTTGGCAATTGGTATTCCACAGCTTGTGTCACTCACACCACTGTGTGATGACTCCATCCCAAGACCTTTCCCCACGCAACTCCACGCCCAGCCCAATGTCATCCTAGGTGTGCGAAGCTTTTGGGCCTTGAGAGCCAACAAAAGCCACTGGCCCAAACCAGTTGAATGCGCAGGGTCATCAATGTAGTTGAATGCTTTTGGTATTCAGTTTCAAAACCATATTATAGGTACGCGAGCCGCTTGGCACTTCTCAGGCAAATGCTCAAGGATGCCCCTAAGACTAAGACCAGATCAAAGGCGGACAAGAAGACGAAGTCGAACAAGGCCCAGGACAAGAATGACAAGAAGGGCAAGAAGAACAAGAAGAACAAAAAGAGTGAGGGTGGTCGCAAACCATCCAAGAGGACCAGGGGTAAGCAGGCCGAAGAGGCTGAGGTTCCTGACACTTCTGGTCGTCGAAAGACGAAGAAGTGAGCCTGAGCACCCACATAGCGTCCATGCAACTTTGATACCAATGCCGTGCATGCGCAACTGATTTTGTAAACACTTTGGGATGGTTTGGTCTTGTGCAAATCGAAGAATTGGATCAGTGGGTGACAGCATGGGGGTTTTTGGTTCGTGTGGAAAACCACATGTTCAGTGCACTTAACTGCACAGTTGATCCATTTAGGGGTGAGTTCGGTGCTGCAGTCTTCACTGCAGGGCTGCCCAAATCACATGCTTGTTGCGATGTTGGATGTGAGAGAAAAGTCCCACAGCATTTGGCTGCAATTCTGGGTGCACTATCTCAACTGAGACTGGCATTACCCCCCAAAGTGCTTAATGATCTCTGTGTTGGACCCATCCTTTTAGTTGAGGATATCTCCATGCGAGTTTCATGGCTCGGCGCAGGCGTCATGCATGGAACTGTGTTTGCCCACCACCCGTTGCACAGCCAGGTCCCTCGCATAAAGCTCGCCAACTTGCATGGCGCTATGGCTGCGGCGACACTTTGGCCAAAACAAGGGGACCTGCTGGTTACCATCTGTATCCAGTCCTTTGTGATTTCCACTACCTTTTGAACATTTTTGTGCACATGAGGCCATGTTCATGGGTCTTGTCATCGTGTGCCTTCTTTCATATATGATTTTATCTTCGCATCCTCATTAACTTGGGTAGATGAACACTCTTGAAATGGATGAGTCTGCATTGAGTGTGTATATCATGATTTACATGAAGACTGTGGATGCCTCAACATAAAACTTGACGCGCTACAGAACCTGCCGTCTGCACGCATGGATTCAGCCATTGTTTAATTGAGGAACGATCGACTGAGATCCTGAAGTTTGCCAAAGCTGATTGCCGGGATGACATTGAGGATGGCCGAACCCATTCCCGGTGCCCTGTGCTCTCCTCGCTCTGGAAAGCAAACCCTAAGAAATCTGATGCCCAGCTTTGCTTTACTCGCGAATCATTTTTGAATAGTAGCCTTTTGATCTTCCAAATTTCCTCAAAAATATACCATTTTAGACTTCGATGCCAACAAATATTTATAGGTTGGATTAGGTGGGCAGCGTTTCCCAAACAAATTGGAAACAACTTAGGAGGCTGAAGTACAACGAGTTTTCAAGGAGAACCACTTCTACTATCCAGTGGCCATCACTGAGGAGGTGGACCCACCATTGGAAAAGTTTTCTTGGCTAAGGCCCAGTGATTTCATCCAAACGATGGCTATGTACAACGACCTGGGCAACATTTTGGGAGGGTTCTCAACCATTGCTCAGGCAGCAGAGTTGTTGGAGGTGTTTTGGCAACGGTATAGATTGGTCTTTCCAGAGTTCCAGCTGTTTCCACGTGTGGATGCAGGGTTGTGCACATACAAGCAGTGCATACCTCTATACCTTCATGGTGACGAAGGTATTTGCTATAAAAAAGGCGGGGTACTGATTATCAGCTTTCAATCTCCGCTTGGCTTCGGAACATCGAAACGGCCACAAGAAATGAGCATCAACCTTGAAAACATGGGAGAAGCAGGGCTTTCTTTGAACTTTGTCAAATGTGGTATGCTCACTCGTATGGTCAGTGTGATTTGCCCCAAGGACTGGACTTGCTTTTGTGCTTGTAAAATATTCTCCCAAGTGTGTTCAAACAAATATACAATCTAGGCCTCTCAAAGTCTTCAAGTTTGTGGTGCACTTGGAAGGACATGTACAAAGATGACCCACGCGTTTGGAATGCTTTGTTCTCCAAAGTTGCCACCGATTTTGCCTCAATGGAGCAAAATGGGGTCCAGCTGGATGGTCAGGGAACCGTTTTTCCAATCATTCTGGGCAACAAGGGTGATTGGTCCTACCTTGTGCCCTGAAGTTCAGATCAGATGTACTTGTTTTCTATGTGTCTGTGGGAGTGCATACATGCACGTGTACAGCATGTTCAGCATGACACGGCACTGTGGCTTCAGGTATCTTCTGGCAACCTTGAAAGATCTTACCGCAGGGCCCCAAAGGGATCCAGAGATCCTGCAGATGGTGCTGCCAATGACTTGGGGGTGGCAGGTGCTGGGATATGCCACCTGTGCATGTGCGGACAGGGCACCGATTGGGAAAACCTGTGTCTTGGTGACAAGCTGTTCTTTTCGGGCCCACGGTGGTTTCCAAAACATCCTTGACCTCCATGTGTGAATAAGTCCAGCTGCTAGGCACTTACTTCTGTCAAGTGTTGTTTGGCTATATATCTCTCAGCTGAGGCAAGCAGCTGAACATGCCATGAGAAGTTCACACCGGGTGCAACTTCCACCACCGTGGGTGCAAGAAGCGGTTCTGACGAAGAAGTTGTTCCATGACGGATCCATCAATGGAAAGGCCCGTTTCTACAAGTACGATCTCTGGCACTCATTTCATTTGGGTGCTGGAAAGCTTTGGCTGGGTTCTGGGTTGATGCTCCTGCAACTGAAGATTCCAGCCCCAAATGTGGGTGAACGGTTTGCAATCCTCAATGCCGCCTATGCAGAGTTTTGTCGGCGAGAAAAGCTCTCACGAATAATTGGGAAGCTGGACCAGCACATGTGTGGGGTCACTCTGCCTGAACCGCAGGGTACCTGGAGCAAGGCTGCAGTGACCTCCAACCTCTGCTTGTTTGTGGAAGACTACCTTGGGCACCACCCAGAGTTGATTGCAGGAGACGAGCGGCTTCAATACTTTGCAGCTCAACTTGAGCTGAGCTTTAGATTTTGTTTGTCACATATAGTGTGGCACCTGTCCTAAACGTGCGTATCGTCTATATATACATATATGGCAAGGGTGGAAGTTTCAAAGTAGACTAGACAACTATAGGAAGTTTTGGTCTTATAAACAACACTCGTTCTTGGGGTCTGCTGCAAACATCAGCCATGTAAGGAGTATGGGACCAGGAAGATGAACCACTTCTTCCGTTCTTTGTATGCTGGAGACCTTTGGTTGGATAAACCTACTGCTCAGAACTTGGCGCAAGCATTGCTTCAATTCATTCGCGTATATCTTTTGCTGGCTCGCAAGTCGTATGACCTTGGAGAGAAAAAGTTTGGACTGATACCCAAAATACACGCGCTGCATGAAGTGCACCATGAAATGGTGCGACAAGGTGAGCTGAGTCATTGGGTTCTGAACCCAATTGCTGAAACATGTTCTATCGATGAAGATGTGATTGGAAGGGTGGCCATTTTATCAAGATCAGTATCGCCTCGAGCGATTGCACGACGGGCGTTGGCCCGGTACTTGGCACAGATCAACATCATTTGGGCGCGTGGTTGAAAAGGATGATGGGCCATGGGGGCTGGGTGCCCAGGAGCTTCTGGAGGGTTCCAGTTTAAGGGTCGGAGGGCAGGATGCTATTTGATCCGTCTTGGTATGTTCCTGATTGTGTGGAACCAGATGAAAAAACAACTTTCCAAGCTCAATTTGCCATCAAAGCGAAGATACGTTAAAAACCGTTCGATCACGTTAATTTCCGTAGTGTGTGTTAATAACCGTTCGAGACACATGTTTTGAACAAATCAATGACTATAAGGCTGATCAGTCTTTCAGGGTGCACCAGGTATAACTATGTGTTGATCCTTGAATCCACAAACACTTCGCCCTGATTCTGCGTTTCTCCAGAATCACTACGTTTGATCATATATTTGATCGTCCAATGCTAGGAGCTGTGCTCGCTCTATGAACAGATCTTGTTAGCCGCACCACGCGTCCTTCAGTTGGACCTGTCGCTCCTGTTCAGCTGCTGGGCATTCGCACGAAAACGCGCGGCGAACACGTGGCGAACACGCGCGCAAGAAAAGGGGGTTTGGTGATCATACACAGTGAGAGTTGATGAATCATAATCAACGAGTTTCTGACTTTCTCCAAGTGAAGAGGATGTGACTGACTTTCTTCTTCTTGCCAAGGGCCAGTTCAAGACTCCGGCTTGACCTCCAGGTCGCTGCGGTGGGAAGCACCAGGATGCATTGGGCACTTTGCTGGCGGCTTGTGAGACATCCACATGGTCCAGCGTGATTTGGTGGAGCCTGCGGAACCTGGCGCCTCGGAGCCGTCCAGCAGCCCTTGACATATGTTGACCCGCTGCCGTTGGGGGAGAACTGTACCACGCACAAGTCATTTGACTTCAATCATGGTGTACTTTTGAGTGTAGTGTAGTGCTGTATGTCATCAGAACCCAGCATAATTTTGATGTGCTGCTCCTGAAATCCATCCAGGCAGGACAGAGGTGAAATCCATTCATTTCAGGTGAGGTTCTTGATTGCGATAGGATGTGACGCAGGAGCTTCCTGAAGTTGCTGCGGATGTTGAGGTTTTACCTGTCCAAAGTTGCCAAGTGTCCACTGTGTTTGTGCTTCATGTTTGGATGATCTTGCGGCTTTCCATGTGCACCAGGCTTGGACATGTGCTGTTTGCAAAATAGGGAGCAGGATGGAGCAGGTAAAAATAGACACATCCTCACACGTGTGCTTTCTGCCAATTCTGCAAATTAAAGAAGCGCGCCGCACACTGGCGCCCAAAAGGACCGTGGTCAAAATTTGTTTTGGGCGCCCGCGGGTCAGCCTGTGAGGGCCCCCACCTTGCAGAGGTTAAGGCCTTGGACATGGACTCAGGAGGGAGCGGAGGATCAAGGCCCAGGCCTAATCCTGGGCAATACTTTTCCCGGGACGAATATCTTGACGGTCTGAAAGGAGCAACCCAGTTTTGGGTGGTTATTAATGCATCTTCCGGTCTATAAACCACCCTTTGGGTGGTGCTGGCACCAAGGGAGACATGACATCCTTCCAGCACTCATCGTACTCCCTGTCAGGAACACGCCCCGTTCCGCTCACGCTCACGTTCATCGTCCTTGACCGGTGGGGGGGATGTTGATGAAGTTGAATCATTATGATGTACATTAAAGCTAGGTCTGATGACACAGCAAAAACGGCATAGACAAATGCAAAACCAATGCTGCAAAGAACGCACAAAGAAAGCAGACACCAATCACCAAAGGAACTTACCAATGCAAAACAAAGAGAAGACGAAGAAGAACAACAACAACAACAAAGCACGCACGCGGCTAGATTGCCCACTCAAAAGACAATAGAAAAAAGCAAAGCAGCACGCAAAAAATACCATCAACATCCTCCGCCGAATATCCTCTATTGAATCTGGGAGCTTGAGCTCAAAATGACCCTCACATTGTATAAACAATTTTCTTATAGAACCAAATATCTATACCTATCTGAAAACCCACCAATTTTTAAAATTGGGGTCCAAAAAAAACAGTTTGTTCTCTCAAAATGGGTGCCGACGCCGACATTTGATTCTATAGAGAGGGCACACCATGTCACCCGATTTTATAGATAGAGGTCCTAACATTTGATTCTATAGAAAGCATCTGGAGTAGTAGTAGGTTGAGAATGCATTTTAGAGTGGATGGTGTGTTGTGAGGTCAGGTAGGTTGATTTTCAAGCTGTTACATATGTCAAGTTCAACCTTCATACTGTAGATATTTCCAAAATCAATTTCAACCTTCATATGTCCTCACAATTCCCCACACCTTCTATCAAAGCCAACCTTGGCTATACATCATTGATTTTCCAATGTTTTTGCTATCAGTTGTTCATGATGATGAACACCCATACCCTGAGGGGCTTGATTCTATAGAGTATGTTTCCAGCACTGCAGGAGGTTGATACTTGATTCTATAGTGGGGCAAACTGCCCTCACAGCCTGGTTTTTCGTTTTATCACTCTAAATTCAAGTCTCAAGGCACACCGGTAATTCCACAGGGGATCAAACAACAATAAGAACTAAGCCATCAAACAACAACAATAACTAAGAACACCAACAACACAAGCAAAGCAAAAGGCAGGTCACAGGTTTTTCATGGTGTTTGTCTTTTTTGTGCATTTCCCTGGAAGAAATAAACCAAAACAAGTGCAAAAAGGACAACTCAACAAAGCGCGCACACACAGCGAGAAAAACGACACAAAAACGTCACAAAACAAGTCGGCTTGAGACATTTTTGTGCATGGTCATGTTTGTTTTTGCGGTTGCTTTGCTGTTTTAAATTGTTGTTTTGTGTTTTGTTTGTGAATTTTTGTGGGGTCCTTTTGCAAGTGTTGTGTTTTCTTGATATGCACTCTTTTGGACCAGCTGCCTTTCTGTTTGTCCTTTTTCATGTTCAATATGTGCCTTTCTTTTTCAACTTCCTGGTCATCATTTGTGAGTTGGGCTTTGCTTTGTGTTTTTTAAACGGAATCCTTGAGTGTCCAGAGTTAGGCTGCAGCGCACATCACAATTTGAATCATATCATCTAGCTGTTGGGCAATTTGGTGCTTTTGTTGGCTCTCCATGATCAGGTTCACTGCTTGGCTTCAAGTGTGAAGACTGGGGAGGAGCAAGAAACCATGCTCGGTGTTTCGTTTGCAGTGGAAATCCTTGCGTTAGAACTCTGGGTTCATTCATCCTGCAAATGGTGTGGGCACACCTCCATCTAAATTCATCCAAATCATAATCTCAAGCACCACTTCGGATTTGAGCCAAGAGTCTTGAGGTCAGCATAAAACCTTTACATGGAACCACTTTTCACTAAATGAGGGCTGGGGGTCATGTGCGAGTAGTGCTTGGGAAAAAATCGAAGAAGGACGCGCTTGGGCTCACAAGTGAGGTATGGCAATGCACTACTGGCATAGCCCCAGTCAGGTGTGTTTCCGCGATGATCTCATTTGGTGGCATGAAGAGCCTCCGGAGCTGTTGGAGATCATTCCCGATGATGCCTGGGTGACTGACCTGGGATACATCCGTTTTCTTGTCAAACCACATCCTTTGTTATCAACTAACAGGCCAGGACAGTCATCCTCAAGGGGGAAAACTATGGGACAATGGAGCAACAGAAGGCCTGTTTACAGGGTTGTTGTGAAGACTGTTGAACTTGGAGGCGTGGATCCTGGATTGTTGGAATCATGTCATGTCCATTGTTTGGTCTACTGCACCACTTCACGCATTAGACCTGCTGTGCAGCTTGGGCAGTGCCCCACCTTCAGCAGCGATGTCGAAGTCGATGCGAGTTAACTCTCCAAAACATCGCGAGAACTGTCGAACGTTTTCAACCACCGTGGGCCCATTTCGGCCCGATTCTTCTTGAAGCAGAAGCCTGAATATTTGGCACCGTTCTGGAAATAAACGACCTCAGCCATAGAGTTTCCAGAGCACAAGATGTCAAAAGCAAAGAAATTGCCCAAGTGAGGTTATTGAACCCACCAGCAGTCCAAGGTGATCAACTTGGGAGCTTCCAATGGGGGCTGTCGACGACTGCTGCAGTCGCCTGGTCCGCCAACACGCTCGTGACTTGGACGTTTGCTGCAGTAGCTGAAGGTACGTAGATAGGGATTTTTTGAGCGATTTCGGAGCCGGGCCCTTGTTGTTGGAGATCAGGTTGCGGGTGTGGAGTATCGCAGTATCCATCACCATTTTTTGACTGTGAGCATGTCATGTTTGTTTGTTTTTTTGCATTCCTCATATCCAAGAACCCCTTGTGATTCAAGTTCTGGTGTTCTGATATTTTTGGATTTCCAGATGTTATTCCTTACGCCCCAGTGGGGTTGTCCTTGAAATCCATATCCTATCGTGTCCAATTTGCTGTGCTGTTGTTAAAAGTTACCCCGTGATTCCTGTTACAAGTTCTGTGTCTCCTCTAAACCAGATTAAACCAGAGTGTTTTGCACTGTCAGACAGCTCAGACGTCCAAGGAACCTTTTTGAGACACAGGATCCTGCGAACTGCCTGTTGAATCGCAGCCATCGAGCCAGTGGCATTTTCTTCGAAGGCGCCCGGGCGAAGCCGTGGTCCCTGGATGGGTGAAGCCGAGGACGCACCGAAACCATCCATACCATACCATTAAACTTGGTAGAGGCGGGTCCATACTCAACATCACTCATGGCTGGGTGTGTGGGTGCCAAAACGGATCCGGAGGCAACAAGAAAGACTACATGGAACTGGAGAAGGCTCTTGGAAACCGCTCTGACTTGAAGCTGGCCGAGAAAACTGACCCCGGACACTTCAAGACACTGGTGAGAAACTATGTGGCTCAGCAGGCGATCCGGGCCGATCGACCTGGTTTGGCGGATCGACCGAGTGGAGTTCTTTCCCCCGGTCAATCCCTTAGTAGTGGGCATTCGCCATGAGGCGGTTCCTTTTAAGCAAATCCTCCTGGATGTACCCCCACCAGGCCACAGCGCTAATTGATGATAGTTCAATAACGTTATATAACATATCCGTTTAGAGGGTGTGCACGAGACTACTATAATCACGAAAGCTAGCGAAGCTAGCTGGAGTTACTCTTGCGATAGCAAGGTTTCTTTCGACCGGGTGCAAATCCTAACCCCTGATTTTTCAGGTCGAAGACCCCCCCCCCCCCCCCCCCCCCCCCTCCCCTCTCCCCTCTCCCCTCTCCCCACCCCACCTCCCCTCTCCTCCTCCTTGTCTTCCTCCCACCTTCCCTCCCTCCCTCCCTCCTCCCTCTTCGCAAGTTCGACTCCGTCCTGTCGTCGCTCTTTGGCATGCGGTTAGCGTTGCGTATCTTGCGGCCGCACTCGCTCACTCTCACTGTCTCACTGTCTCACTGTCTCTCTCTCTCTCTCATCTCTCTCATCTCTCTCATCTCTCTCATCTCTTTCTCATCTCTCTCTCCTCTCTCTCTCTCTCTCTCTCCTCTCTGTCTCTCGTCTTTCCGTCTCTCTTCTCTCGCAGGAGGATCCGGGCAAAGAGCCACATATAAAGGACTCTTCACCCCTGCCTCCAAAAAGAGCGCCGTGTTTTTTCCTACCTCGCTGCCCTCCACTTTCCCATTCTGGAGCGCCAGCTTTCGCCCCCCCCCTTGGCCTCAAGTATATAAATATAACTAGATTTAGAAGTTATGTTTGAACCTGATTGGTGACCGCTTCAGGATGCCAGGGGAGTGGCTGGCTTGGAGCGTCGTGCAAAAGATCCTCTCCTACTGAAGGTGGATGTGGACAATTGCGACTGTTGCTTCCTGGAAGTGCTTTTGAATGATCCACCAGAGGCGCAAGCTCGGGGCAAGTAGGACTCCTTAGTGTCGACATGATTTGCACGACTCCCCGGCAAGAGAGGATGCGCAAGGACTCCAGTGATAAGTGTGTACGAAGAGGAGCGTGGTGTTTCTTCGTCTTTGACTTGCCTCAATCCTTAGACCGGAGAATTGATTTTCAGATCACGCCATCAGAGCGGCTGGCTCTTGGGGATTGGTTCTAAAATGTCCTAGAACTAACCTGGAAGCGGATGGCATCGCCTTGAAGAGGACCATTTCGGAATCCAACATCCCCAAACAGAGGGTGTTCCACTTCCATGTCAGTTCCAGGGAGTAATACTCCGCTCACCTGAAGCTCATGAAATCATGACCACCTTAAGATCCTTTGGCCCTCCATGGCAGGGGTCGGACCCTCAAAACCTTATGTGTTTGAAGGCCCGGATTCTCCAGCACATCCACTTTTTCAGGGTCTCCGCTTGCGGCCCGCCGTCATTCATGTTGAAGTCCACCCATTGGTCCCACCTCCGATTGTGCCTTGGGTGCAGCCTGTCGTTTGCAGTTCAAAAACCGGTGATCCGGTGCATGCGGCGCAGGTTCCCTATGCAACAGATGTGCCCTTTTTTCAAACCTCTTAGCACCTAATGTTTCACCGTGCTTCATCTCAACCTTTCGTTTAAACAAAAGCAAAGAAACCGAGGCCTATAGGCCTTTGCGCTACAGCTTTGGTGTGGGTGATTCGCTCTTAGAGATAGGTCCCGAGCATGGAAGAAGAGGACATTTTCTGCATTGCTCACTGACAGCCTTCATGGAGCTGCTTCTACCACTGGGAAGCCTGACATGGTCAGTGGCCTGTTGTTTCGGAGGAAACGATCTTGTGATGGGGAGCCGATACTCTTTTGGGCTGCTGGTGTGACTAGGTTTCTGGGAGGGATAGGACCTGAAAGTCCGAAGAATGACTGCTCTCACACCGAGTCAGTTGCATCGGCCCAAGGCCAACACACTGGTACCGGGTGTTCTGCAGAGTGGGGACCATTCCAGGAATGGGCGCTGAGTCCAAGGCTGTCAGAAGCCTGAAAGAAGGCAGGGAAGTGATTGGGGTATCGTTACCAGAAGGCCTGGGCAAAAAGACACAACTAGAATCCTGCAAGCTATTTTCAGGCTCGGACTGATCTACTGAATCCACACCCAACTTCCTACATTCTTCCTCGGAAATGTTAAGGATATCACCTGGCGCACTTGCTCTTCAATGATGCCATCTTCATCCGCGAGCCCATGCCGTCCACGTCCGGAAAAAGCCTCATGGAGAGGCTGAAGAGTGCAAACTTGGCGGAGCGGCTTTGGTGTCCTGGTTTTTGCTTTGGACTTTTGGTGTTTTTTTTTTGGTTTTCCCTAGTAAGGGTGAATCTCCGTAGTTTTTCCGGTTCCTCAAGCACATCCAAGGTATGGTTCCTTTTTCTGTCATCCCTTACGGCCCAGCCCCATCGAAGTGTCTCAGCTAGCATGGAAAGAACTCTTTTGGGGTAGGGCCAAGCACTTTTTTAAAACATCTTCATAGCAGTTGGCCTTTCTTGGGTCTTCCGTTGAGGTGCACTACATGATAGAGTTTCAGTATGACTATCGAGTTTGGAATGATGTATCCATTCCTCCCAAAGATCGTATTGAGCTGATTCGAAGCTATCTCGACGCTTGGCGGGTGCCAAGGGCTTTCTACACCTTGTATGAAAGCATCGCCTGAGACTCATGACGAAAAAGGAGCGACGGTTCAACCAGACTCAGGGCATTCTATGTGCGAAGCTCCCTGGAGGAAGGGGGATGATGAGAAGAACCAGACACATTTAGACACTCAATCGGATGAACCATCATAGACTCATAGACTGGAACACCTGTTTTGGAGGAAGACGCGTTGATTCACATATATATATATATATATGAGATTATTGTAAGAGTGATTATAATATATTACAAATATGATTGTGCAATATAATATAACGTATAGTGGCGCATCTATTCCACCTTGATCCTGAAGAAGCAATGCACAAAAAAGAAGGTGCGATCAAGAATCTGACGAAGTTCATCTTCAGTAACCTCACTATTTGTCATGCGTTGGCTCGAAGCCACCAAAATACTATCACAAACATATTCCAAGTCATACAGCATCAAAAAACCGACCCTGTCTTTAAAACAGTCAGATGTTTCCACCTGTCTTGTGTGGCACGTCCACCTGTCCACCTGTTTTTTCTCGCCAGGTTCGCACGGCACCGCTTTGGATGTCGCATTTTGTGTCGTCTTTTGGAGCATTGCACGACTGAAGCATCCACCCAGAGGCGCCGCTATCCATCGTCGTTTCAGGGCGGGGGCTTTCGGTCATGGAAGGTCCCCCCAACAAAACGTGCCCGTGTGCCAGCTTGGCTCGCTTTTGGCACTAGGTGGTTTAATTCATTATCCTATCATCATCATCATCATCATCACCGCCACCATCATAATCATATACTACATTTAAAAAATAATAAATAATCAGCAACAACAACAACAACATGACAGTGAGCATTAACGTCATCATCGTCAAGATCACGTGTATCATAACCGTCGTCAGTGCCACCAAAATCATCATGAATTGAACACCGATATCAACATCATCACGACATATCACGACTATCAAGGCCGACTTACATCATCGTCATCATCATCATCATCATCATCATCAACATCGTGTGCACGGTGTGCCCGGTGTTTCGTCAGCGCACCAGTCTTGATCACCTCCAGGGCAGATGCAAGGTGAAAAAGCATCAACAAAAGAAAACATGAGCGTGAAGGAGCCCAAAAGGGGCACCGAAGCCCAACAAAAAGGGATGAACTGGGGTGATGTTTTTTTGGTGTAAATTGTTGGGGAAGCAAGCCCGTGGTGTGCGTACAGTATTTCTGTTGCGCAACGTTTGGCTACTGCATGTTGCTTTTTTTGTGCACGTTTTGTTAGTGTTGCTTTGTGAGTTATTGTGGCCCAGCTACCTGGCAGATGGGTGTTTTTTTAATAGGAGAAGGCAAAACCCATAGACCAGCATAGACCAGCGCCATGAGGTCATGGGATATGACGCACATGGCCCCATGGAAAACTAACATGGACCCTGAAATTCATGGGTTTGTAGAGGACAACACTCTGAACCCTGCCATTCTACCCACAGGGCCATGTCAAACACATCGGGAGTGGTTTACATCCGATTTCTGAAGCTGCTCAGGAAGGCGATCGGGTATTTTGCAGCTACTTGTTTGTTCATGCCATGAGGGAACGGACCAAGATCCGCCCGCTGGACACCGCCGATGACCAAGTTATGGAGACGCTCAAGGAGCATGAGGTGAATGGAAACGCAGACGAATTCCAGCCGCTATGGCGTCTCCCTATTTCCAATACATAGCCTTTTTTGTGAAGCTGTGGCTTGAGCAAGAGAAATCCAATGTACACGTTTTGGTCAAGTTGTTTGAGTAGAAAGAACGCATTATTATGACCAACCTGGGAGGAGTTGTTTGCATGAATACCGGGACGCGCCAAACATGGATTTCCCTAGCCCTAGCCCTAGCTACCGGCCTCTAATGAGCTGCAGGAAAACCGAAAAAAGAACCATCGGTGCATTGCTTGGCATGTCCACCGTGTATACCAAAACGTAGTGGTTGCCCCCAATGTATTGGTGTAATGGCTTGAGAAGAGGTACCTTTGCAGAACCACCGGACCGTGCGAACACCGCGAGAGGTTTAGCGGCCAAAATGTTCCGGTCAGTAGTCGGACTTCTTCGGGCACTTCGGATCCGCCTTGTGGACAGGTTGATTTCCAACATCCTGGAGGATCCCGCCGAAGCCTTGGAGCTGTGCCGCCACAACTTTGGACACCACGTGGTGCAGCTGGTCCTGGAGCGTGGACACCCCAGGCCGGGGAGGAGGTGACCGGCCGGTGGTGCAGCACCAACGGTGGTGCCGTTCCCCTTGTTTGTGTGTGTGTGTGTTTGGATCGAGTGAGGTGGGTGTTGACCAGTTGATGAATCCATGTTCCCCGGTCACTTACGGAGATGTTTGATCTATCTATTTATTGATCCTGTTACAAGGATGACGGAAAGAGTTATATTGAACCACATAGGGTTTGTCGCATTACCTGTGACAGTCAGTATACAATTATCATGACTTTTGGACAAGGCCCCTACTAACCATCATCATCCACTGTTACAGGTAATAGGATAGACCCAAGAACCACATGAACAGTCAACGTTGCAGCTGGTTGGGGGAACCGAGTCGGGCCTTGTTCTTCGTGTCTCCCTTCTGCGCGGAAAATCAAACGGAGTCCAAAGGACTGATTTGCACATGCGCTTGACTCTTGATTAATCAACGCCCCCCATATGAAGAGGTGTAGAACACTTCCGGAGGGGGCCCCATTCATCAGTCATTGGAGAATGGGCGCGGGTCATGTTCGTCTCGGTCACCCCCCCGGCAGTTCCGGAGCGTCACGTCCGGTCAGGTCCGGTCGGGTGAAGCTTTGCTGAGGAAGCTTTGTGCATCTCGCTGTTGATCTCATTTTCCTCCAAGCTTCTACTACTCTTCACTTCTCCTTCCGATGGTCGCCCCGATCGGCGTGGTCCACGAGTTTGTGAGCAGGGGAGACCAGTAGAGTTTCAACTGGAAGGATTCGCACGACAATGTCATGTCATGTTTGACAAACATGGTCTTGTAGAGCTTGAAATCCAACAGAAACTTAGAGACACACAATGACACACATCTAGCCAGGCGGGGTGATATGATGTGATATGCCTAGCCTATACATCTTGCTTGGCCATTTTGGAGCACCCACCAACCATCCATCAAAAAAATCAACACTCCCCAACACTCATAGCCCAACATATATAGGTCCAACCGTCCCCTACCGGCGGTGGGTGGCAAAATTCGCTTCCGTCACTCGCCCATCGCCCGGTGCGGTCAGGCACAAGGAGTTGGTTTTGCAGGTGCTGCGCAGGGACCTGGCCACGAACGCCGCCCACCGGCGCGCCAGCTACGTGGTCGAAGCGGCCTTGAACAACTGCGCTCCGAAGGAGAGACCAAGCGGCGATCGGACCCGCGCGATCGTCCGGGACTTTGTGGGCCGGTGTGGCCGGACATCTTCGGCCAGTGTTTGAAGGATGTTGGAGGGCCGAGGGCCCGGATTCTTCGGGTGGATGATCATGATGATCTTTTGAAAAAAGCTCGACTCTGAACGACCCACTGGTGCGAGAGAGGTAGACTCCGTAGTTGCCAGGTAGACTCCGTAGTCCAGTTTTCAGGGGGTATCATCATGTATCATCCATACATATCCATACAAAACACACACGGATCTCCATGTTTGGTACATCTGCCTGATCCCTCAAAGCCCCCCCCAATGTACGTTTAAATGTTCCATGCATACGTGGAGTGTTTGGGATATGGCTATGGCGTGTCTTATTCGTAAAGAATTGACATGATTAATGTGGACTGTTGGAGAAAAGTCTGGAGATGCATTGACCATTCTGGAGAAGGGGGATTGGAGGAATCAACCGTCAACATTAGGATTTCCAGGGTCTCCCAGACTAACTACGATTCATCTAAATCGAAGCTTATGATTCTTAAAAATACACGTCCCAAGCCAGAAGTATGGTGGGGTGCTGTGCTGTGTTTCTTTTGGGGGAGCTTTCCGATGCATTTGGCTTCAAACGGGAGAGGTGTTTCGAACAAAAACCGCGTGGCGGGTCCCGGGTCCCACGACCGTCCCGATTCCTCCGTGTGCATCGTGTGCGAAAAGAGCATCGAGAAGAACGTTCAGCACGGTTCGGTGAGAAATCCTTGAAATGCTCAAAATCATCGGTCGCAAAACCCATTGATCCGGAGGGGTGTTTTTTTTCTTCTCGGCCTGCACCCAAAACTCCTGCAGCAGGTGGAGAGTCCTCATATCATCTATAATCTATAGATCCAGTCTTCACCAGGTGTGAGTGGTACCCAACTTGTCATACCCAGAGAGAGAGGGCCCAGACAGGGCTCTCGGCGAGGTTTTTGGCGGACAGGTCGGGTGCGTCCCGAAAGCAAGCTCAACGCGACAAAAAGCACGCTGGGCGCATTTACTGTGCCCTTTCAAGGCACCCCCCACAAGAAAGAAAAACGAAGGTATGCCCATTGGAACCCGAACACCACTGGTTTTTGGAGGAAGCGAATCTTCCTGTTTGGTCCATGCCCATCAGGTTCCATGTGGGCCTCTTCCTGGGTAGACACTGTTCGGTCGCAGGATCAGTATGCCCTCTTGCAGCATCTCTTGGACCCCTCGGTCTTGCAAGAACTGGCGCAGGACAGGGGCATTCCACGGCCAACATTGGGCATCGGAACTGGTTGCCATGGTTATATAAGTATTGCATCAGATATTTCAAGCTTGAGATTTATAACATTTTAGAACTATACTATATGCTACATGATATGTTTATTCAACATACCATCCATGTACCATGTTAAGATGGAACACACGGTGGGTGCCTTTGGCTGATTTGACTGTGACGGTGGCCACTGGTTGGACCGTGGCCACCGGTGGACCGACCGCCTCCAAACGAATAGCAACTCGTTTCAGGAAGTAGATGGCACAAATCCACAAGTTCGGTGGTTGATGGCACTTAAACCCCAAGTTACAAGATTAAAGAAGACATCCCGTATATCCCGTAACTATGTTGGGGGGTGGGCTGGTCTAGGCAGGTTTAGCTCCCGTGGGGTGTGAAGATGAA